TGCTACTCGTGGGGCCCACGGGGTGGAGAGAGGCAAAGTGGGGGAAGTTCCGGTGGTGGGAGTGCGGAACGGTGATGCTCGTGACGCTGGCTAGCGCGAATTTTGGCACAGCTCGCGAAAATTTCTCACTCGGCTTTTCACGGAAAACTTGGACTGCGCTCGACACGGCCAATCGGCTTGAATTATGACTGATGAAGTGCCGTGCCGGACTAATGGAGAAAACGGGCTGCCGAGGCGCCTCGGAATGTTCGAGCGGCGCGCACGCCACCGCGAATTCGACATCTGGTCAAACCCGCGATTCGGACGGGTTGCGAGAGAAGACTGGAACGAATGCTCGTTTTCGCGACGGGTCTCTCGTTGTTTGTCGCAGTTTAAATTTGTTTCTCTTATACCGTGGAACAGGAATGTGATAGTCTGCTTTCTTGTGAACGTTAGAAAATAGAATTTGAAAGTCAGAGCGTTGTGAGCAAAAATACGGTGGATGTTAGTTCAATTACTGAACCATTTTTGGAGTATATTGCTACGAAATTTCAAATCGATGAGTCAATTTTTCTTTCTACGTAAATGATATTATTTCAAATCGGCACATTCAATGGAATGTCTCATCCACAGAATTCAGACAAGTCAGCGAACAATATCTTCCGAAGTTGAACCGACGAGCGTTACCCACCATGATGCGAATAATCAAAGACATTCGCCGCAATAAACAAGGAACGCGAAGCGGCACGGTCTATCGCGATGGATTGGGTGCGCGTCGAGCGCCGGTAAAAATCCGCCGTGTCAATCGACACGACACGGTTATCGGCAGCGAAGCTTCGAGCAACGTCGATCGCGGTTTCCCCCTCTTCGGGGTTCCCCCGCCTACGGAACAGGCGATCCACGAGGAGGGTGGTGTTAATGGGCGTACTCGCGGTTAACACCCTTCAACCGGCAATGGTGGGGTACACGCTAGCTAGTGGAACGAAGAGGGAGACACGGTATCATGCGCTAGACGAAAGAAGTGACGTCGAAGGAAGAACGTCGAAAGCGTGGTGCAGAACCGGTCGCGTGGTGGGGACATCCCCGAGAGAGAAGAACTGAATGGAACAGAGGAAGACGAAGTGAGAGGGTTGAAGCGTGAAGAGAAAGAGAGGGACGTCGGGAAAGGCGTCGAGAGCAACGCCGCTGGGATTGGCGCCGGAACGCCAATCCGGACTACGAGCGCTCATTATCGCCCGACGGACGCCGTGGAAGGGCGCCTCTATAGCGTACCGTCTCTCCTTGTCCGACGATCGGCCAGGCCTATTCCCGTCTCGGTCCCGCCCCGGCCGGTTTATAGCGGTCCGTTCGTCGGACCACGTTCCCCCACCAATGCACCGCCGGGTTGGAGACGTAGGGGAAGGGAGGAGGAGCCCCTGCACCGTCTCAGTCTTCGCGTCGCTGCCCTCCAGCATTCACGCCTCCCGCGTCCGTTCGTCGGCGCAGGCACACTCCGCTCGCCTGTATACACGCACACGCGGCCGCCCCCGTACACGTAGCCACGCGTACACACGCCCTGAATCCGGACGAGGACTTTAGCACACCAACACCTCCGCGGGAGGTGTGGGGGTGAGCCCCCAGAGGAGGTGTCAATCCTAGCGCTGCTCAGTGACCATCGCGGCGCCACCCAAGTAACACCTTTCGTCCGCTCTCCGGCCCAGGTTCGGGAGCAGAGCAGCCGAGCCACTACACACAGCTCTCTTTCTCGCTCTCTCTCTCCTCCTCTCTCGCTCTCGTTCTCTCTCTCTCCTCTCCTATCGGCTTTTTGTCGTCCAGTGTCTCTCGCGGTTGCGGACACACACGGCACACTGTAAACTGTTTCCACGACGGCGTCGTCGTCGTCGTCGTGGTGTCGTCGCCGTCGTCGTCGTCGCCGTCGTCGTCGCCGCTGCTGCTACTGCTGCTGCCGCCGCGCCGTTGTCGTCCGTCGGACGCCGTTACTCCACGCGCGCCGGACGCCGCGCGGCCTCGCTCTCCGTTCCCATCGCGCGCCGTACCTGCTCGCCCGCGCCTGGCCCGCGTACCGCGCGAACCGGCCGGGGATTTTCGTCAGTGAGGTGATCAAGAGTGTGCACGGAGGAACAACCCGGTGGGACCCGGTGGCCCGGGCACCAGTGAGTGCGCTTTAGTGAACGACAGTGAACGACAGGATACTCAGTCAGCGCAAGTGTAAATACATATATTGTATATACTTATATACATATATATGATATATACATATATTCTTGAGACGTGACCAGTGGACTTTTCCTCTCCGTGCTCCGCGCACGCGTTCCTTCGTTCTGATAAAGATTAAGAAAGAGAAAAGGAAAGATTCAATGATTGTGTCTGAAAACCGAGTTGAATCGGGAGAAAGTGTGCTTCGAACCCGGTGCTGAACTGTGCTTCCCTTCTTCGAGCAAGTCGTGAAAACTATTTTTCCGACTAAAGTGCGAGAGTCCGAGCGGGCTCAGCCGCCGCGCCGCACGGAAACGCTAGGCCCGTCGCGACGTACGATGTCCCCTGGTGGATTCGCGACGGGGCTCGTGGCGATCGCAGGATCCCAGTGGGACCGCGAGCCTAGCGAGGATCGCGGGATCCGTTCCTGAACGCTCTTCAGCACTCGGAACTGGCTGGTGAACCATGTCCGAGAACGAACCGAACAGTTAATTGTCGTGGACGTTTGTATTCATCCGTCACGACCAGTGCGATTGGACTGCAATCGACAAGGTGCCCGCGATTCAAGTGTCGCCGAAAGGAAACTGTTAAATCGAAGTAATCAACAACAACAATCGAAAGAAACAGGAACGAAACGTATCGGGAGCTAGCCGGCTACAGTTGTTTTTAGTTTTCTCGGTTCCATGAAGGGACAAGTGGTGTTGTTTAACTGGTGTTGGGTGAAGAGTGCGCGGATCGCTCGCCGTTCTCCTAGGTCGTAAATCTCGAGTGAGAGCCCTCCTAGTTTTTTGAGTCACTCGTAGAGGAATCTCGCGCGACTCGGCACCACCCGGCCCGTCTCGATGAGATTCGAACAAGACACGGCGTGCAGGGGTACCCACTGCGCCAGCACTCCGCAACCCTCCGCGCTGCAGCAGCGATCACGGGTCGAGGAGGTGGTGGAGGAGGAGGAAGTGGACTCCTCCGGGAAGGACATCGAAGGTCAACGGCGTAGACGAGAATTGGAGGCTAACGTGATCGAGGGTGCGAACACGGGGCCGAGGGCCGAGGCGGGGGGGCCTGGGATGGCGTACCCCGCGTCAGCGACGGCTCTGAATCAGCACTCGCCATTCGCGACGTCGATCGCCGGCACGCCGTCCAACAATCCGAACGGTCACATATCCGGTGGTCACCTGCCGGCCCCGGCCGCGCCGCGACCGACGGACTTCAGTGTGTCCTCGTTGCTGACCGCGGCCAGCACTCATCCACCGATTTTGGGTGGCTCGTCTTCTCAAGGTAGCGCTTCGCCGCCGCCCGGCGGACCAGGTAGTCCGGCCGCCGCGCCGGAAACACCACCGCCGTTGCCCAGCCAGAGGGAATTGTCTCATCCGTCCTCGGCGGTGGTCGTCGCGAGCTACTTCAGCGCTGCCACCCTGGCCGCGGCCGGTTTCTACAATCCGGCGGCCCATTTGCCGGCGACCAGCTCGCCAGGCCCGACGGCCCACCATCTGTCCGGCAAGGGAATCCTCAATAGCGCCCACCATCATCCCCATCTCAACCCCCACGGAATCACACCGCCAGGTGAGCCAGCCAAACAGTGTCGTTACCTAATGATATCGAGTGGTTTGAAAGATACCTCCAAAGTGTCGTGGATCGACGGAAAATGAGAAATGGAAGGGTGATTGTATCGTGCGCGGCGTGATCGGGTCGAAGTTGGTAGTCGGGAGAGGGTAGGACGTAGATCGAAAGGTTTGTTCAGGAGGAGAGATCGTAGACGGGAATATAGGCACCCGTGGATTGTGTGCACTAGAAAATAATTGGGCTCGCAAGGGTACGCTGTGAGTGAAGTTCGCGGTTGAAAGTGTATAGTTATGGGAACTGTGCTCTGAATAGGTAAATGGATTCCGGTTTGGCTGGATTTCAGGGATCAGGGGTCTGTTCTTGATGAGGCAGTGCTTCGGCCCTGGTACATATCGTCCCCTTACGCGAGAAACATGGTATTTCTAATGTTTGATCTTGTCGAAACGCGTGTTCATTAGGATGGGACACGAAAAACTACACGGAAACGTGAATTGTGTCGTTAAAATACGGAATAGTCTCATGTGGATACATGATTTGAAGGGTACAAGACCGTGGAACGCGAGTACAATATAGTAGCTGCTTGTCGCGAGCCTAATCTTCAAAGGCAAACACTTTTATCCGATTAATCTAGACTAGAATTGAGAGTTAAAGACGTTTCGTCGTGTATTCGAGTCTCTGCTCCGCGTAGAAGGTATTCTACGCGAGTTGTTTCTAACCGAGACCGTAAACGTTGATTCAAGAGAACCGAAAAGACGAAAAAGTTCGCGGCGACGATCGAGAACAGGGCAATGAAGCTTCCCGAGCGCCCTGGGGAATATTCAAAAACTTGTTACCCGGATCACAAGTTTCCTCGCCGGTCCTAACCGGAAACGTAGAAGCAACTTTTATCGCTGGAACAAGGTTGCCGGTTGCCGAGAAAACCGAGTAGTTCCATTCGAGAAAAACACAATTTACTGGAGCAGGAAGGCGACTCGGTGTCAGGGATCGCAAACTTCTGTAAACCGGTAAAAACAAGCTTGAAATCGGTATTAGAATTCGAAAAACAGTATCGGGATCTTGGAGGTTGTCTGAAAAGTTTTTGTTTGTTTAACACTCCAAAACATACCAAAAAATTCTCTGTCAGGATTATCGAAGTTTGTCCGAATCACGTTTGGAACTCTGGCAAAACGGTTGCTGTTACAGAAAAATCGGTAAATGATCCAGAAAAAGTGTGCGCAATGGAAAAATCGGGCAGCGTTTAATTACCGCGTCAGCAGGCTTTGGTTTACGATCAGCACGGGTGAACTTGTTGCGTGTTTGCGCAAACCGGCGTGCTCCAGCGCTCGTTTCGGCCGATCCAGCGACACGGATCGCGGCCGTTCACTTTCCCCGGGGTTTTCCGCAGGCCTCCGATCCCGTTCCGTTCGCCGATGGCTCGCGATGACGTTTCTAATGATCGGCCGGCGGAAGATGTACAGCCGGCACGCGAGAGAACCGTTTCATCGCTTATTCATCCGGCCTGATCTCCGCAGATACATTCGTTTCCCGAATCGACGATCGGTTTGTTAACGCGGCGTAGCGCGGTGTTTTCACTTGGCCAGCCAACACGGCTGTCAATCGTTCCCAACGATGTTGTTAGACCTCGCCGTTTCACATGGAACCGGATGATTTATGCATCTCGACCAGCCACCGGCCGATTATCTTATGCGATGCACGATTTTAAGCTGCTCTTTAAGTTCCCTCTCCTTTACAAATAAAAAATTTGCAGGTGAAATTAGAATCATTGGTACGTTTGAGATAATTGTATAGGAAAGTTTGAGGCGAAACGGCTAGGCTGCCATCTTCATTGTCGTTGGACGGCATGAAGCAGGATGATAATAATAATAATCCGATTTTACTGCGCACACAATCGTCAAAACTATAAAAGAGAAAATGAAAGGAATAATATTTATGCGTATAAAATATCGTGAAAGTAAACGAAAATAATCGTGTCGCGAGTAGGTGAGATTCAGCGAGTTTGAAGCGGCGATTGTTATTGAATTTATCCCTGATTATGTTTGGAATTGAGTTAAATATTTGCCCTGATCAAATTTACATTTATAAAAGATTTTAATCTGCCACGGAGTCGCTGAAGTGTTTTTGAAATTGATATGAATTATAACAAAACGATAAGCTGTAAAAATATATCTGGAGTAAATTTAGTACGTCGTCTGAAACTCTAAATTTCACTAAGATTTAGCATGTATGGACAGTAAATAATCATGTACACGGAAAATAATCTTTTTTTCATCGTAGAACGTCTCCAAGACGGTGATCATCCCCTCAAATTTACACATTTTTCTATTAATATAATCTTTCAACGACTCGGATACACCAAACGTTTGCGCGCATGAATTATTCAGAAACACGTGTGCCATCCACGAACTGTAAAAAAATTGGACCCTGACGCGTTATCTTTAGGTAAACGTTTCTTTATTATTATTTTGCAAATGATTCATAGATTCATATTCAAGTAATGAGTCTGCAGAAGTGTAAAATGACTTACTTGCGATACTTCGTTCGTCGTGGAAACGAAACGGAGTGAAAAAACTTCTGGGAGTTGAATCATCCCCTCGAAGCAATTTTCTTCTGAAAAAAAATCGTTCCTCGGATGGCGTGCACGCTCCGATGCGTCATACACGTGAAGTTTCATTAAAAGTAGAATTTTCGGGTTGGCTGAATTTCCTTGACGGAATTAATTTCCGTTCTCCTCAGACGGGGATCGACAGGACTCAACAATCTCCGATCCCATCGGCAGAAATCGAGATTAAGATTATTACTCGGTGTTGCTCGATAATTAAACTAGACTCTGTGAAAGAACGAATTAATTTCGCGATCTGTGTGTCGGAATGCCTCGATCGGGGTGGCGAAGAGAGAAAAAAAATTCGTAAACGGAATCGTTAATATGGACGACGCGAGTTCTTCGAATCGATTGGAAACTCGGCGAGGAAACTGAAATCGGGATAGGGTTCATTAACGTCGCAATTCGGATGCCTGATCCGGCTGATAATTTCATATGAAATGAAATCGAAGCTTTTCGCGTTGATCGTATATCCTATGTTAATTTATTAATTCGCGACGCTTACCCGCGTCAAACGCCAATTAAAACCGAATTATACCGGAAGCTCGCGTTTCCTCGCGGCGGGATCCGCAACGCCGCCGCGCAAAAGTTAAGGGAAAATCCATTAATTCCGCGATCAGCGACACGCGCTCGCACTCCTCTCAATCAGCCACCGATACGAATAAAATGAAAACCGAACATCCTCGACGGTACCCGCGTGTCGGTTTCGATGAAAATTCTGGGAGTGATTCCGTAACGCGGTGAAATCCATTCGAAATCACGTCAACTTCTCGTCACAGGATCGAAAATATTTTCATCGAATCGCGTTCCAAAGAATTCCTTCGAAAATCTGAATTTTCTTGAATGACAATTCAATGACACTTCATTTTGTCTGATTGTAAATAACAATGAAATCTAGAAGTGAATCTCTGAACTTAGAAAAAGTGGGTTGATGGAAAGATTAGAAAACCTATAACCGAGTTATTTCGTCGTTAACGATGAAAATTAGATGAAAAATTTCGAGTTTAATTACTGAGATTCGGACGCTATTGAATACACATGTTACCGAATAAACTTGACTAGCGCGGTTGGTCGGAGTTAACTCGGGACAAAGGAAATTCGCTCATTACATCGGAATTCAAATTAGCTCGGATTATGTGCTCAAGCGGTTAATAGATCGTGCCTAATCAAGGCGCATTATTTTCTAATACAAAATGGTACTGAGTTTATCCCACGAAATAGGCGAGCATTAATTAAGGAAACATTTGATTTGAATCGGGATTTCGATTCGAGCATGCTTTTCAGACACGGTTTCTTTCGATCCAAGATGGCCACCGTACACGTCTCGGCGCGTAGTACTGACCACTCATGCCTGACTATCCTGACGTGCTATATTTCAAGCGATCTCGAATCACAATAATTCTATTTCCTATGTCAGCATAATGCTATGATTTTTTTCTTTTCTTACCGGTTCAGAATGTGCGTATATTTATTTATTCGAATAATTCGAGAAGAGGTTAATATATTGCTGCGACTAAGGGTGTACCACCTTAGAATTTTAACTTGAAAATATTCATATGTATAAAATTATTTTCAAAATTCGTGTTTTATTGACGAAAAGTCGGAAAAATCTTTAGAATCAATCGTTCTCTGACGTCAAGTAATGATTAGTTGACATTAGCATTGAAAAACAATTCTAAGCGAAAATCAACAATCGGTAGACTTAAATTACCCAATCGATTTGGTTTAACAGTTAGGTATTTTACTTTTCGTACTGAAAAAATTAAAAATCAGGCAACCAGTCAAAGAAAATCCATTGTTTGTACTATTGCAATAAAATTAAATCTTTTAGTATCACAAAATAATCGTTTTGAACAAAAATTTCTTCAAAAAACCCAATCTTGATGAAATTAAAATGTAAGATAAGTTCGTAGGAGTATCTGATAGGTTCTTCCTCTAGATAGAATCGTTTTCATCGGAGCTGCTGTTCAGGAAAGCAGATTTTCTTAGGTACAATCAGATTTCTCTGTCGCCGATCAGACAAACCATTTCGAAAGCCGTGGAAATCGCTAAAAACGTCAGCAATCGCGTTGCCCGCTCGTCAAGCTGGCGCGCTGCCATTGTCCACCGGAAGTACGGCCGCTTTTCACGGGAACTCGCATTTCCACGTCTGTCCGTTTGTCCGTCTTACGCAATGCATCCGTCGCGCCGAATAGAAGATCGGGAAAAATAATGGCGACTTTTGTTTAGATGCACGCAAGTGCATTCTCTGGTCGTTTGAATGGACACTGTGCATTACACTTAAACCGACTCCATCTATAATTACTCGAAGTGTTCGGAATTCTATCTGGAAAACTCTGTTTTCAACCACTCAGCGAATATATTAGATCTTAATATTTACAATTAGAAAATGAACACTTGA